TGGTTGTGTTTCTTTTCTTTTTTACATAGCTTCTGGGCTTTGAACTCGGGTCCTCATGCTTACAAAGCAAGTACTTTATGGACTTAGTCATCATCCTAGCCCTTTATACTACATTTTAAATAAGTTTGCAAATGAAACCAAGTTTGCATGCCCCGAAGGATTTGTCATACTCATGCTGTCATGAGAAATGCTCAAAGAGTCTTAGACTTGGGGCAATCCAACATCCCGGATGCTCAGTTACTTGTAAAACCTCATTGCACTTACATAGAATTCCCAGACATGAGATTATCTTGAGGTTAGTTACAAAACCTACTAGATTGTGAGCGGTTACTGTACTGGGTTGTTCAATAACACCTTCAGGAAGGAGGTCAGTGTGCTTAGTGCAGGGCTCTTTCAAAGAGAAGTTTTGTTCTGTGCTTGATGGATGCCAATGGTGCAGACCCTGTAGTTTCTACGGGCAGGGTAACACCAGCACGCCGCACTCAGGAGACCAGTGCCTGGCCTCGACCACGCCCTCCACCCCCCTCCATTACACATTTGTTGCCTTACACTGCAGGGCCTGAACAACTATGGGAGGATTTAAGAGCCAAGTGAGATAATTAAATGCTTAAAATTATTTAATATTTTCACATTATCCGTAAAAAACAAGGCTGACATCTAGGATCCAGAATCGTCAGGTGACATTTGATACTTACAATGAAGTGTTTTTTTTTAAAGCCACTTGAAAGAAGCTAGTGAGACAGCTCAGCTGATAAAGGTGTCTGTTGCCAAGGCTGATGATCTGAGTTCAATCCCTGGTGACCCACATGGTGGAAGGAGAGAACCAACGCCAGCAGGTTGTCCTCTGACTTCCACATGCATGCAGGCTCCCCCTCCAAATAAATAAATAATAAATGTATTTAAAGCTAAAAAGAAACAGTCATGATACAATGTACTGGTATCACTGCGTCTGTTACAGTGAACACACACAACAGAAATGAGAAATAGAAACTCAACCAAGGAGAAACTATTAGACCTGGAGAAGATGTTGGAGTTGTCCGTGTGTGTGTGTGTGTGTGTGTGTGTGTGTGTGTGTGTGTGTGTGTGTGCGTGACACATTGTGTTAGCCACAGATAAGCAGAGAGAGAGAGAGAGATGAATGCGGGCTTCAGCTTGCTTTCTCCTTATGCAATCCAGAATGGTATCCCAGAGATTGGTGGCACCCATATTTAGGTCTGACAGCCTCCATTAACCTAACCTAGAGCACCCCTCACCAGGCTGTGCAGAGGCTCCTGCTCCAGATGAGTCCAGGCTTGGCTAAGTTGACAATCTTTATTTAGCCATCTCAACCTCGAGGCTTTAATTCTGTCGGAAGTGATGGTTATCCCTTCCTTGGCTTTAGAATGTGAAGCTCAGGTGGGTTAGAAAGAACTGGGGAGCAGGCAGGAACTAAACTCTTTGGGTGTATTTATTGATGGGTGTGTTGGTGCACACCTACGATCTTGGCATTCAGAAAGTGCTGAGGCAGAAGGATTGCTCTTAGCTGGAGGACATCTGTGTTACACAGTGAGCTCAAGGTCAGCCTGAGCTACAAAGCAAGACCCGGTTTCAAAAAACCAAAGCCAGAACTGAGGAGATGGGTCAGTGGGTTTGGACTTGCTGCAGAGGCAGGAGGCTCGAGATCTGTCCCTGGCACCCAAATAAATGTGGGGCATGGTTGCTGTGCCTGGAACCCCAGAGCGATGGGAGATGGAGATAGCAGATGGCTAGGGCTTGTTGGCTGGCTACTAGCCTAGCTCTGGGATCAGTAAGAGACCTGTATCATAGGAGTAAGGCCAATAGTGGCAGCGTGAGACACTTAGCATCACTTACCAACACTTATCAGCACACACATACACACACACACTCACACATTCATACATGCACACACATACATATGCATGCACACACATATACACATATGTACTCGTGCACACATACACGCATGTACACAATACACATGGATATACTATACACACTCCTACACATTCATACATGCACACATATGCGCACATACACAGAAACACTCATAATCACATGCATACACATGTACACACTCACACACTTGCACATACACATGTACACACACATGCACACACATACACACATTCACACATGTACTCATGCACACATACATACATACATGTACACACATACACACAGACACTCACACACATTCGAGCACTCCTCCACTTAAGTCTTAGCGTGAGGGTACCCTGTGTGATTATGGTGCTGGGATTTCCTCAGCTCTCCCATGCATTGATCCTATGGTCTTGGTCCTGCTGTTTACGTGAACCTAGGGTTGCAGAGCCACTGGTGGAGCTTGAGAATGAGTCTTAGGACTAAGGCTCTGAGAGATAGCAGTTCAACGTTGTACAAGAAAGTGGAGGTTGCCCTGAGGGCTTAGTTTGTTGGTAGGATTTATGACTTCCCTTTCTCTTGTTCTGTGGTAATCAGGTTGAGTTTTTCTTCTTCTTTCCCCTCTGTGTTTGGCCAGTGGTGCCAGCCTTCTGGGAGGAAATGTCACTTGCTTGCCAAATTAAAAGCCCCAAATCTGTTCCCTCTGGAGCATGAAGGCATTGCTGGGAAAGAGGCTGTGCTCCCTGTCTGGCTCTTCGACCTATTTAATAGGCTTTGAAATGAACCTTTTAGTATAATAGATGGGAGACGTCAGAATTCCTTTGAGGCCAGCTTCGCTGTTGTGCCTGCCTCCCAGATGGCACCCTGAGTTGCAGAGGGCAGCTGCCTGGGACTTTGATTTAAGATAGTGGGTGACTGATAGTAGATTAGGGTGGAACAGTCACATTGAGGCAGATGGAACTGGATCTAGGGACAGCTGAGGTCCCCAAAACATATGCAGAAACTGGAGGCCACGGTGGTGAAGCTACCCTGCATCAAGGGTGTGGCCTCAGCTCCTAGATACAAGGCAGTCGTAAAACAGTGAATAGCAGCCTCATGAAGGGTACTCAGATGTACGTCCTGGACCAGAGGACAGTTCTGAGTCTGCCTTGAGACAAGCACTTCTGCGCCCCAGACGGAAGCTGTACTGCTTTTCTTCCTGTCACTGTGACAAGATACCTGATGGGGGCACCTAAAGGAAGGAGGGAGTTGGTTCGGTCCACAGTTTGAAAAGGCACAGTCCATCACCAGTTATATAATTCAGTGGAGAAGGGCCGATGTAGGAGAAGAAGGCTGCAGAACAAGCCCAGATGATATTCATTTAAGATGTAATAGCCTCCTAAAGAACTGTCCTCTAACACAGGGGCCAATAAGCAGTTCTGTAAGGAGCCAGGGTGTAAATGCATCAGCTTTCTGTGTCCCCCTGGTCTCTGCTGGGCTCATTCCAATCCAGTCAATGGAATTCCCATTCCACTGGGAGCAAGAGAGTAGTCGTGGACAGTATGCCAATGATGGGGGTGGGCATGTTCCAGTAAAGTTTTATTCATAAGAACTAGTGGTTGTGGGCCAGAAATTTGTCTATGTCTAATCTGAGAGGAGAGTAGATCAAGTCAAGAGAAGAGGGCATACCCTGGCAGAAAAGTGGGAGGCGCCAGTACCTGGAGGTAGTGACACAGAGATGGAGACGGAGAGGGAGAGGGAGAGGGAGAGGCAGAGGGAGAGGGAGAGGGAGAGGGAGAGAGAGAGGGAGAAGGAGAGGGAGAGGGAGAGGGAGGGAGAGAGGGAGAGAGGGAGATAGAGATAGAGAGATGGAGAGGGAGAGGCAGAGGGAGAAGTAGAGGGAGAGGGAGATAGAGATAGAGAGATGGAGAGGGAGAAGGAGAGGGAGAAGAGGGAGAGGGAGAGGGAGAGGCGACCAGACGGTTAAGTAACAGCCCAGGTTTATTCTGCGGCTGCCAGAAGAGACCCTCCCTGGAGGGCTGTCTGTAAGCAGGGCTATCATGGATCAGGCATGCTATTAGCTGTACTACATTTTGACCTCAAAGGCTTTGGTCTGGCTCTGTGAATGCTTCCCTTCCTCTTTGTCATTAGTTAATTCTTGCAGGTGTGCCCCGAGCTTCCCAGGACACCATACAGTGCGTGGTTCTGGTGGCGAGGGTGAGCAGAAGTCTGTGGGAGGCGCTGCTGTCTGCTTCTGGTGGCTGTTGGCAGGGAACAGAGCCTCACATCCTCTCCTAGCACCAGACACCGTCCCACCCGCGTCACCTCCAATGGCCGGGTGACAGCTCCTGATGGGCAGCTTAGGCCTGTGTCATTTAAACTGAATGTGGCTGGAAACCTTCTGGTTGCTAGTGATGAGCCCTGCCCCCTCTCCTGTTCCCCGTAGGCTGGAGGTATTTATTAACTTAAATTAATAGAGGAAGAAGAAGAAAACCCTTACCAGCCCTCTGGACCTCCTCCAGACAGGCCCTGCTCTGCCATTGCCAGGCTCCCGGAAGGTTTTTCTACAGGGCTGGCCAATCAATGACTTTCAGGAAGCAGATGCTAAGCTGTTCCTTCCAGACCTGGCTTTGCCTTGGGACCATCTTCTGCACATCGGGAAGGCGGCCTGTGTGTGTGGCTGTGGTTTCCCTTACAGGAGGCCAACCCTACCCCTTTCTGTCCACACCTTCTAGCATCAGAGAACAAATACTTGGCATCAGAAGTGGCTAGTGTTTACGGCAACTCACCTATGTGTTCTAGCATTACCCTGCAACCCCCAGGTGAGGAAACCACCTCTTTTTTAAGTGAAGGTCCTCATTTCCTTGCACAGATATTCAAATCCTTCAGTATAGCTTGGAGACCATAAATAATGACTCAGAAAGTGTTTAATGGATTAGTGAGTGAGCGAATGCTTTCTCCCAGCATAGAATAATTAAGAAAAACCTCAATGCAGGGTCATCCCTGTCAATGGCATCTGTCAGTTCCTTCCTAGTCTAGATACTGCAGGATGGGGAAATGTGGGAGCCAGTGACTGGAAACATTCTTCATTGTTTTCTTCTAGCTTCATTTCTGTGACTGTAACACCCCAGCAAAAAACAACGTAGGGAAGGGAAACGTTTATTTGGCTTACAATGTCAGGTCCCAGTCGTCATAGGAAGCAAGTCAAGGCAGGAACTCAGGCAGTGGGTCACATCACACACAGTCAAGAGCACAGAAAGGGGGCACACCCATGCTGCCTGCTTGATTGCTTCTTTGTGTAGTTTAAGATCGCCTGGCTAGGGAATGGTGTTGCCAACAGTGGGCTGGGCTGGGTCCTCCCTCATCCATTGACAATTAAGACATTCCCTCACAGACATTCCTGCAGACCAACATGATTTAGATAATTCTTGAGCTGACACATTTCCTTGTCAGAGGATTCTTTTTTGTGGCAAGTTAGCATTTTAAACTAACCATCACCACATTCCTTTCAACAAATCTAGGGCTGTTTTGTTTGCTTGTTTGATGTTTTCTTGTTTTCAGTTGGGAATGAGAACACTTCTAACACAGGTGTTGTAGGCAACCTCTGTTCTAGTAAAACCAATGTGCCTTTCTCTACAGATGCGACAACATAAGTATGGGTAAGATGAGCTTGCAGTCAGTCAGTGGATTCTGCAGGAGGTTGGGCTGTGAATACCAGAAAGGTTGTATTTGCTGTTTTTTTAAAATGATGTATTATTTATTTCTTTTTGTATGTGAAGAATCCTTCCATCCTCATTACAGACCCCCCCAGCAACACGTTGTAGTGGGGCTGCTGGTTGCATGTCACTAAAGGAAGCTAGCGTGTCCCACACAGGGTACCTATTCCTAACGTGTGTGCTGTCTCCGTTTCTTCCATGAGATAGTTACCGCACCAAGAGCCCAGACTGAGGAGCAGTTTGTGGTTCTGCCTGCACTGCACACTTGCTGTAGGTGCTCACCACAGCTGGGCTGTGGGGGTAGGGGAGACGTAAGGCTGCCACTGCCCTGCTGGGCCCTTGTGTGGCTGTAACTTGCTCAGGCCCCAGCCAGGAGCATCTTATAAAATATGAGCTGAATATAGATGGAGCTCCAAGGGTCTCCAAAGCCATTATCCATGCTTGGCGGATCTCGGAGGATGCTCATGCCAGAGCCCTGCTCTGACTTAGGTTTCCAAGATTCTTCCTGATGGTCGAGGAAGCTAGGGACTCTACGAACCGCAGGGGCCTCTCAGAAGTTAATGTCCCGTTCCAGGTTGTGATGGACCGCAGCTGGGTATCTGCCTGGGGCCAATTTATTGTGAGCAGCCCGGCAAATTTGGCCTCCAGTGAAGAGTTTTCGAGTTTACTTAACCATGGCAAGGGCCATGTGTTAAAATGGCAAAACTCTCTGGTGGTTTTTGGTGGTGGGGCCAAGTGGCAGGTGCCTTTGCCTGTTACCCCTTTCTCTCCGGTGGGAGTTCTTATGGAAGAGGGACACATGTCCCCATTTTCCCTTCTCTTCAGCTTCTTTATTCACAGTTTGGAAAGGTGAGGTCCCATTTGCATACAAAAGCTAAGCAAAACAAACAAACCATAGGGTCGGTGAGACGTCTCAGTGAGTAAGGGTGATTGCCCATCCCTGATGAGCCTGATGAGTCTTGGGAGACTTGTATGATGGGAGGAGAGAAGTGGTTCCTACGGGTTATCTTCTGAAGCTCACCCTGACCTGTGCCCCTCCTGACACACAATAGGTAAGTAAATAAATGCAACAAGCCCTACAAATCACTCTTTTCAGAAGCCACAGATTTTAAGTTTAACAAGTTCGTGCTTGCAGAACACACACGAGTGTGTAGGTACACAGCTGTGTGTGCATGCATGGAAGCCACAGCATGTTCTGAGTGACTTCCTTTGTCACTCTCTGATCCCTCTGTCTCCACCCTGGTGTTGGAGTTCCAGGCACATACACTCATGCCGGGCTGCGTATGTGGGGGCAGAGGATTTGAACTCGGGGCCTTATTCTTACACGCCAGGCTCTCTTTCCCTCCAAGCATCTCAGACCTAGGTTAAATGAGTTTTGATAAACTTATTTTCCCTGGCACCCATCACCCTCCAAAAGATGAGCATGTCTTACCTACACTGGAAAGTTCTTTCAAGCCTCTCTCAAAGCGTCACACCCAACCCGAAAGCAACAACTGTTCTGATTCATATCACAGGGCTTAGATGTCTTCTAGGACTCTATAAATGGAGTCCTGAGGTACACGTGCTTTGGCGTCTCACTTCTTTCATGAGACATCTTTCCCTCAGCATGCTCCCCCTGGGACTCACCTCTGTGTGGCACCGGGTCTTTGTACGAGCAGCCAACAGTTCATTGCTGAGCAAACAGCAATTTACCGGTTCTCAGCATGTCTGTTTCCTAGGTCACAGCAAAGAAAAAAAAAAGAAAATAAAAAGCCTCACAGACAGTAGCAGTTTGTTGACTTACAGGGCTCCAGGCTAGAAAGCCAAAATCAAAGTGTCAGCCGAGCTGTGAGCCCCTGAAGCTTTGAGACAGAACCCTTTCTTGTCTCTTTGTGATTTTGGTGGCTTCAGGCCATGCTTGGTGTTGGCTGGTGCAGAGCCATACTGTTCAAAGCCAGCTCCTTTCTTCATGAAGTCACTAGACTCTCCCATCATAAAGATTCCAGCGGAGAGGCCAGGCTTACTCTGATTCAGCCTGGCCTCATCTTTTTTTTTTTTTTTTTTTTTTTTTTTTTTGCTTTTCGAGACAGGGTTTCTCTGTGTAGTTTTGGAGCCTATCCTGGCACTCACTCTGTAGACCAGGCTGGCCTCGAACTCACAGAGATCTGCCTGCCTCCGCCTCCTGAGTGCTGGGATTAAAGGCGTGGGCCACCAATGCCTGGCACCTGACCTCATCTTAACAGTGTCCCACATTTACACATACCTGAGCTCGCCAAATAAGGTCACATTCATGGGTACTGGGAGTTAAAATGCCCGTCTCCCCCATCCCACCGTGTGTGTGTGTGTGTGTGTGTGTGTGTGTGTGTGTGCGCGCATGCGTATGGAGGCCAGAGGTTGATGATGCGTATCCTCTGCAGTCACTCTCCACTAGTGTTTTTTGAGGCATGGTCTCAGTAGGACATCATGCTCACTAATTGGGCTAAGCTGCTTAGCTAGAAAGCCCCAGGGCTCCCCCTGTCTCTCCCTCCTCAGGAGGTTTTTTCGTATGTTCCAGGAATCAAATTCAGGTCCTCATGTTTGTAGGGCAAGCACTTTACCCACTGAGGCATCCCCTCAGCTCCTTGGACACAGTTTCACCGGCTCTGTTCCCATCAACGAACCTTTGTTTAGTGTGTTTACAGGTCAGGGGTTCTACGAACGCACCTGAGTGCACCACCAATATTCTCATATGAGTTTTCTTGTGTGGACAATGTCTTGGTGTCTCTTGCTTAAACCCCTGTGAGAGGTACTCTAAAGTCCTCCTGGATGTGTGTATTTAGCTTTATGTGTAAATCCCAAGCTGGTCTCCAAGCAACTTGTACATTGGACAGCCTCACCAGCAGATGAAGGAAGCCAGGAGCTTTCCATTGTGATTCCTCTCAGTGTGGGACAGTTTTGTCCCTCGAGGGCACCTGGGAAGGCTGGAGGACAGTTCTGCTTTTACAGGTGGAGCTGGGGAGGCTGACTGACTTGTTATGTCTGGGTGCTGAACAAAGAAGCCAGCTAGAGCATCATACAGTGTGGAGATGGTCCCGGGGAAAGCTGAGAAGGGGAGCCCTGTGTCCTACCTCTTGGTTCTGTGGTACTTTGGTCCTCATTTCTTCATCCCCACAGGTGGGAAGTGAGACTCGCTGTGTTCCAGGCTGGGAAATGGTTAAAACTGCCAGGTATCTTTCCACGAATCCCCCTGCCTCTGAGTGTGCATGTGTGTGTGCATGATTTGTGTGTGTGTGTGCATGTGTGTGTGTGTACATATATGTGCACACCTGCCATAGCACTCCTGTGAAGGTCAGAGGACAACTTATTTATTTGTAGGGTTTGGGGCAGGGGACAGTTGCCACAGTGTGCATGTGGAGGTCAGAGGACAACTTACAGGATTTGGTTCTTTCCTTCCACCACGTGGGGCCTGGGGATGGGATTGAACTCCAGGTGTTAGGCTTGGTGGCAAGCCCTCTTTCCCCCACAGAGGCAGATGTCTGTCCTCACTATTACTTAGCATCACATTTCTCTTTTTCTAAGAATGCCCCGGCTGAGTGATGGGCTCAGCCTCATTCTCCCCTTTGCCTGTGACTCCAAAGACAACCCCCTAGTCTTCTTGGAGTCAACAGGAGAAGGTCATGATTCTTCTTGGCTCATGAATGCTCATCAAGCCAGCACTGAACACTCACAAACAGCCATCCATCAGAAGGAACAAAACCCACCCTTCTGTCTCCTGATGTCTGATGTCCATTCTTGGCATGCTCTTGAGCATCTGGCTGGTAATGCCTGCCCTCTCCCTGCTTCACGGATCACCAGTCTGTTTGACATAGGCCATGGGAGCATCCAGTAGCCCAGAGTCAGTAGGATGGAGGTAAGGATTAGCAAGGCTATTTTTTTGCCCTGAAACAAGAGAGATGCTTGATATGAGCTACCAGCCACAAAGCCAAGCTAAAGCCTCCTGGTGTTTCAGAACTAAAAGAGATGTTACAGATGATTTGCAGCAGGCCTGGCTTATACACTCGCATGGGAAATGGGTGCTGTTCTGATATCTCTAATTTTCCTGTTCCTAAGGAATTACTACTTATTTCTCATGGTTAGCTTCAGCTGCCAACTTGACACAGCCCAGGATTATCTGCGGGAGTCTTCAGTTGGGGAACTGCCTCAATCTATTGGTGCATGGACAGGATGGTGGCCATCTTCTTGGTTGCTAGTTGATGTAGGAACTCTGGGTGGTGCCATCCATGGACAGGTGGTTCTGGGCTGTAGATGAAAGCAGCTGGAAGTCAGCCTGGGAGTGAACCAGTAAGTAGCCTTTGTCTATGGTCTCTGCTTCAAGATTGTGCCTTGAATTCCTGCCCTGATTTCTCTCAGTGATGCACTGTGACCCGGAAGTGCGAGATGAATAAGCCCTGTCCTCCACAAGCTGCTTTAGTTCATGGCCCTTGTCACAGCAACAGAAAGCTAACAAAGACAGGTTTGGCAGACATGAAACTCTAGTCTCCCTGCCCCTCCCCATGAATTATGCTATAGAAGTTGGAACGAAATAGATAATAATGGGTTTAAAAAGCATCAAGAATCTTAATTCCTTCCTGCATCAGACTTGGTGTTCTCTAGGTATTTCTTCAAGTCCTTATCCTACAGTGTGGGGAGGACACAAGGAAAGTCGTTTCTCACAATCTCAAAGAACCTCTATCAGGATTCAGTAACTTTCATCTTGAGACAGGGCCTCGTGGTGTAGCTCAGGGTGGCTCCTCCTGCCTCAGCCTCTCCAGGTCTGGGAGTCCAAGAGGGTGCTGCCACACTTGCTTCCTGCTAGTGTTTTGTTTCTTTATTTGGGTGGTCTGTCTATGTTTTGGGACAGGGTCTCTATGTAGCCTCAGCCAACCTGGAACTCACTATGTAGGTAGACCAAGCTGGCCTAGAACCCACAGAGAACTTTCAAGTGCTGGGATGACAAGTGGCATCATGCCTGGCTGCTTTTTTACAATTGGCTTTTATTGTGAAATGCTTTAAACTTCATAAAATGTCATAGCAGAGAATTTCCTTTGTTACTGTCATCTAGGTTCCCCAAACCCACCCACCCCCCCAAAAGGTCTTACCTCATAGTACATTGTAAAAACCAGGGCATTTGAAACATATTAATGCAGGTACAGGTCGTATTTGACTCTAACTAAATTTTACATTTTACATGCATTGAAGATTTTATTGTTCAGAAGGTGACATGCACCTTTTTTAAGGAAAAGCTTCGATGGGAGAAAGATCTGGGTTCGATTCCCAGCTGTGCCACCTGTCTGCTGGACTGTGGGCTGCTTACTTTACCTTTATGACCCCCAGTCTCTTCATCTGCAAAGATAATATTTGCCCACAGTCCTATGGTGAGTCTGTCTATCTGTCTGCCTGTCTGTCTATCTATCATCTTCTACCTGTCTCTGTGTGTAGAGCTGTATAATAATTGCATGTGTGCATGGGAGGACTCAAGAGGACAACCAAAGGTGATGTTCCTCAGGAACCATCAGAAGATCTTTTTGGAGACAGGCTGTCTGATTATTTTGGGACTCACCAAGTAGGATCTACAAGCTCTGAGACCCTCCTGTCCTTGCCTCCTCAGTCTTGAGGTCACAGATGGCTACCCATTGCCAGAGTTTGTATGTGGATTCTTGGGGTTGAATTTAGGCTTTGAGCACTGTCAATATTGGGCCACCTTGACATCCCCAGTCCCCTTCCTTGAGACTCCAGTAACATATGGAGGTATCCACTGCTTGGGCATCTGCCTGGTGTGAGAAGACAATGATAGCTCGCATTTAGGTTCAGAGCAATGAGTCACATTAGGGAATGGTGAGCAGTGGGGTATACTGGAGTGACCTCAAGTCGGGGGCCCTCTACCTCTATGGTTGGTTGCTGGCATATTAGGGTGGACCTGGAATTGTCCCATTACAGTTTATCAAGAAGTTACAAATGTGGACATTTTTCCATGTGTGAATTTTCTGTTTATGAAAATGGTTGCCCACAAATCCGGATTAAGGTCATGCACCATCCAGACTATTTCCCTAGAGTTCTGATGTTAACCGAAGGTTGTGAGTCTTGCAGAGCAAATCTAGAATTTTCCAACCCTTTCATGCCTAACCCCCCCCCTTGAAGTCTACCCTAACAGAGAGACCACTGGGTCCACTCTCAGGCTACAACCGGGAAATCTCAAGCCCCTCTCCCCCTTCCCTTCCCCCCTCTCCCCCCCATCTGCCAGCCTGATCTGCCCAGTCACTTGGTGGAGGCTTTCCGCTCAGGTGTCTCCAGGCTGTATCAGGCTGACAAAGCTAACCAGGAAAGCACAGAAGGAATAAAGTACCGAGAGCCACGTTGATTGACAGGCCCAGGGACTAATTCTAGACCACCCCACCTGAAGGGACTGGCTTATCTGAACTTCAGCTTTGCTGAGCAGTCTTGATCCTTGTCTCCACAGTGGCCAAGTGGGGTTTGCTAAAATGGCTGTCCGAGAAGGTGCCTTTCCCACAATCCTCTGCGGTGATTTTAGAAGAGATCATCTGCATTTAATCTATAACCTAGTTAGCGAGCTTTTCATGAGCTCCTCTGCACCTCTAGACGCTACACCATTAATCCTCATGGAGTTAGTATTTTAATGAAAGTTGGAAAAACAAATTCCTTGTAGGCTGCACTTGTCATTGACCCCTTTTCTTGATGAAACCACGAGTTGCTCTGGCTTCTTCCACAAAGTACATTTGCTGTCAAGTTCCCTGGGATGGTGACTTCAGGATCTACATACTGTAAAGTCTGAGAAACTCAATGTGTGTCGGCCTTTTGCTCAGTGACGGCACTGCGTTCTCATTGTGGCTTCTTTCTTTCCCAAGCCTGCTTTATGAGTAGTTCTAAACTGCCGCCCTCTCAGAGGTTCTCATGAAAGTCTTGATCCTGTGTTATCTTGGGCCCTGTGCACGACTTTGGAAGCTTCCCTGTATCCAGGGGAGTG